ACTTCCTAACTTTACAAACACCAAAGTTATGGCATTTCCGATCAATCAGTTATATGGCGGCTATAGGATATAGTCAACCGATCCTTATGAAATTTGGTAGGTCAGACTGATTGGCCAAAAATAAAACCCATAGAAAATCCTAACCTTAAAAACACCAAAGTTATGGAATTTCCGATCGTGCAGTTATATGGCAGCTATATGATATAGTGGCCCGATCCGGCTCGTTCCGACTTATATACTACCTGCAATAGAAAGACAACTTTTGGGAAAGTTTCAAACAGATAGCTTTAAAACTGAGGGACTAGTTTGCGTAGAAACGGACGGACGGACGGACAGACGGACAGACGGACGGACAGACGGACAGACGGACATGGCTAGATCGACTCTCCTGGTGATGCTGATCAAGAATATATATACTTTATAGGGTCGGAAATGTCTCCTTCACTGCGTTGCAAAGTTTTGACTGAAATTATAATACTCTTTGCAAGGGTATAAAAATAAAACCCATAGAAAATCCCACCTTCCTAACTTTACAAACACCAAAGTTATGTCATTTCCGATCGTTCAGTTATATGCCAGCTATAGGATATAGTCGTCCGATCCCGGCAGTTCTGTCTTATATACTGCGTGCAAAGGAAAGAAGGGTGTGTGCAAAGTTTCAATTCGAAATCTTTAAAACTGAGAGACTAGTTTGCGTTGAAACTGACATACAGACGGACAGACGGACGGACGGACAGACGGACATGGCTATATCAACTCAGGAGGCGATCAAGAATATATATACTTTATAGGGTCGGAGATGTCTCCTTCACTGCATTGCACACTTTTGAACAAAATTATAATAGCCTCTGCAAGGGTATAACAATCTTAAATTTAAATTATATTGTCTTCTAATTTCTTTGTATATGGGCAGACATGTCTTGCCAAAGTAGTTGAGAATATCCTTTAAAGCACCCTTCCTGTTAACAAACCCAGCTGATTGACAACCTTAGCACTCTAAATACTGATGAACTAAGCTTTAGGTAGTAACGGAAATTAGTATCAATGAGTAATCTGCCAACGTCATTACAATGTCGGCTGATAATCCACAAGCTGGTGAATATTGACCCGGAATTCGCAAAATAAAAATTGTTCGGGTCTGCAGGACCTCGACTCGATTCCTTCTTTTGAAGTTCGTTAATCTGCTCGGTTAAGCCAAGTTTCAGCGCGGAAAATCAGGTCATAGTCACATGTACTTTCAACTCTTACTTTGGCATCTAACTAATAGGACCCAAATAAAAATTCACAATCGTATACTTTGGATTGCCGTGTCGGCCAGGTATATACATATATATATATATATACATATACATATTTTAAAAGGTACATCGGAAAACAGAGGAATTAAAATTACTCACGGAAAGAGCTACTCTAGCCAGACGCAAAACTTTTCCAAAAATCATCAAAGAAGATAGTGCTGAGGCTTAAGTCTTGCTAACAATATGCCGTGTGCACAATGCATTTGCACACTGAAAGAAAACTTATCTTAATTTCAAACATAGAAAAATATTTTTAAATAATAAACTAAATAATTAAAAGAAATAAAAACAAAAAATTAATTAATCAAACAAAGTAAAGAACAAAAACATATAAAATAAAAATAAACATGTAAAAATTGAGCAAATCAAAAAAAAATGTTCTTAGCCCCTTAACACCATTATCATCATCGACAAGAAGGCCTTCTTCGATGATATCAATAGGTGAGTCGTTTAAATGTGGGAGTGTTACGTGTTACTTGTTCTCAAAATGTAGGTTTTTTTGTAATAATTATTGTCATAATCGACAAGCCTGAATTTGGTTGAGAATCGAAAATCCGACTGAGAATAATTATACCCTATGTGTCACTTATTCCAAAAGCGTTCCCTACCCTACAAATTTTTCTTGTTTCGCAAAGTGTGGATATGCTTCTCTCGCAGCCAACCCGGTGTCTTATTATTGCGATAAGTCTGGATTTCTCCGCGCCTCCTGGTCCTTGCTGATCCTTTTCACCTGCCCATTCCGTGTTCACCTCTTAACCATTGGTAAACTCATCTGCACTCTCTTCTTAATTTCCCCAAATTTTTTGATAGCAAAGACAACATGAATGCTCCCATCAGTGCTTTTAAGTTATCTTTTTATATGTCGGTGCCCCTAGCGCCGTTCTATCAATTCTCTGCTAATACACGGGAAAGCAGCTCTGATCTAACATATGTGGTGTATTTTTCTATGATTATAATTATCGGGCACTTTTATTATCAGTAACTGTATATACATATACATATTTTAAATATACGATCACTTCCAGGCAATGGCGGACCCTAGCCTTACAAAAGACCAAGCGTAGCCTGGTACTTTCGGCAGTATGTTTCCGGTCAATTCCCCTACCATAGTCAGTTGTGGCAAACAAGAGATATAACCGCATCTCCTTAGATTGAGGATTTTAACCCCATGGCGTCTGTAAATGCGTTACCGTATCGTCGGCCCTCCCTCTTTTTTTTTTAATCGACCCTCTCAAACGACCTGGTACTGGTCAATTTAAGTTAAATTATATAAAATGGTCTGTCGCACATATTTCTAAAGTACTTTTAAACAAGATAAAAGTCCTAAAGTCGTGCGTCTATTCTGAGACAAAATCCGAATCGCAGGGCCTTCTCAATTCAGACTGTCGCAGTAATTTTCATTTTATAAGAATAATGAAAGATAATATTTAAAAAAAAAATTCACAGAAACCTAAGTCCTATGTTCTCAAAACAAAAAATATTGTTTGGCAGTTAAATATGGAATATATACCACACCTCCGGTACACCTCTTATAATACCGCACGTGAAAACTCTAAGTATGTTAAAAATGTCCTAACGTTGGGCGTCGTTTCCGTTACGTAGACGTTTTGTTAAAAAAAAAGAGGAAGGTATATCACTATAAATAACAAGAAAGGAAAGCTAACTTCGGGCGGAGCCGAAGTTGATATACCCTTGCAGAATATTCTGTAAATTATATTCTCCACAATTATTCAAATGATGCATTCTTAATACTCATAAAAAATCTCAACTTCCTAACTTTAACAAGAAAGAACGCTATAGTCGAGTGCCTCGACTATTAGATACCCGTTACTCAGCTAAACAATTGCAACTGTGTACAATGTAAATACATACATACATATGTATATGCTTACATACATACACACATACGCCATTGTTTGACTCAGACCTCCAACTTGGCTAACTTGATTTGATTTGCATAGTTCTTGGGATATAGTTCGGTATTGACAAATGAAAACCATCGCAATTTCCTTTAATAGAAATCCTTATCGAGAATTAACGTTGACTCTGTTGAGCACCTTGGCCAGCTGTTCCAAAGTCATCCGTTAGATGGCGCCATGAAAGGCGGAAATGTAGGCGCTAGCCAGGCTTAAGCGTTTAATGGGTTTTTGGGCGTTAGAGTGGGCGTGGCAAACTTTTATTAGGCCATAATAGGTATTGACGAAACAAATACATATCAATTAAAATTTTCATAATAGCATCAAAACTGTGGCCACAGCTTAAGGCTTGTGGGCGTCAGAGGGGGCGTGGCACCATTTTGAAATAAACTTGCGATGTGTAGGAACTCCTAAAACCTACATGCAAAATGCCAATCTTTTAGCTTTTATAGTTTCCGAGATCTCAGCGTTCATACGGACAGACAGACGGACAGACGGACATGGCTATATCGACTCGGCTAGTGACCCTGATCAAGAATATATTTACTTTATAGGGTCGGAAACGCTTCCTTCTAGCTGTTACATACTTTTGCACGAATACAATATACCCTTTTACTCTACGAGTAACGGGTATAATTAATAATAGTAAATTATTGTCATGCTGATCAAGAATACAAATATTTGATATCGGAAATGTGTCCTTCAATGCGTCACAAAATTTCGACCAATTTTGTAATACCTTCTCCAAGGGTATAAAAATAATAATAACATACAAACACAAGACATGACTGACAAGTACAGAGGAGCAAAAGCTGTACACAAAACAAATTAATATTATTTCGATTTTTTTGCTTAATTGCAATGAAGCAGGTTCTAATTTCTAATAAATTTTCCATAGTTCCTATAGGAGCTTGGTCTTCTGATTTTTATAAAAACAAAAATTCAAATTCTGAAATCAATAAAAATTACGCTATCTAACAACAAATCCGACTAGTTACAGAAATAAGACATTTTGCTTTAAAACTAAGGGACTTGTTTTCGTGTGGCGACTTGTGTGGTGATGCTGATTAAGAATATATGTATGTATATGCAAGGCTTTATAGCTGCCTTTGACACAAAGCTTTAAAACAGAGAGAGATATATAGGGACGAATCGGCTGATGATCTTAATTAAAACAAGAAAGGAAAGCTAACTTCGTGCGGAGCCTAAGTTGATATACCCTTGCAGAATATTCTGTAAATTATATTCTCCAAAATTATTTATATGATGCATTCTTAGTACTCATAAAAAGTCCCAACTTCCTAACTTTAAAAACACCGAAGTTATGGCATTTCCGATCGTTCAGTTATATGCCAGCTATAGGATATAGTCGGCCGATCCGGGGCGTTCCGACTTATATACTGCGTGCAAAGGAAAGAAGGGTGTGTGCAAAGTTTAAATTCGATATCTTTAAAACTGAGAGACTAGTTCGCGTAGAAACAGACAGACGGACATGCTTATATAAACTCAGGACGCGACCCTGATCAAGAATATATATATTTTATAGGGTCGGAGATGTCTCCTTCACTGCGTTGCACACTTTTGATCAATATTATAATACTCTCTGCAAGGGTACAATGTGGCAAATTTTTGACTCAAATTAAAATATCTCCGCAAAGGGATAAGCCATCTGAAAATATATTGGAAGGTAGTGTAAGATGAAAAATAGATATTTTTATATTTTCTAATAAGCTTTTATTATCACCGTTACTAGACAAATATTCAATAATTTGTATTAATTTTGCAGCATCTGATAAACCAAACCTTGGGCTAGACGAACTTCAACAACTAAATGTACGCTCAAAGTTTGAAGTATTTGAAAACGGGTACAACGGACAAAATAATCCCTTACAAGAACGTCAAGATACTGCTATTAATTTTAGCAAGTCAATAAAGTCCACGCTAAGCAAACTTCATAAGCTCGGGATACCAAATGTGGAATCAGGAAAATTAGATGATATTAACAACAGTGGTGATAATTATTTGATTACGGAAGACGATAGCGATATGGAACTGTTTTGCACCAGAAAGGATATTGAAAGGGAAAGACCTGTGGGCTTAGGAGAAGCAATGAACGATATAAGATCGAAATTTGAGCAAGGAGAAACGATAATACGAGAGGAACGTCGCGAAGAAAGAAAACAGGAAATACAGAGCATTAGATCCCGTTTGTTTTTGGGTAAACAAGCTAAAATAAAAGAAATGTACCAACTAGCTGTTGCTGAATCAGAACAGTGCATTTCTTCGGTGGGTAAGACTCCAGATATTAATGTCATTAAGCCCACTCAATTAATAAAGGATCGATTTGAGAATGGCGAAGTTTTTAACGACAAAGGAGTTCAACTGAAAGAAGCCATTTGTGGTGTGCAGAAAGATGCGGACGTTTTTGAATCTGGTATGTGTATAGTAAATATAATTAATATAAATATTTTTTATTCCCTACATACATTTTTGTTAATAATGCAGCCATAAGTAAAGCATCACGAAGTATTTTTATGGAGCTTGATGCAAATATTACTTCCAGTGTAAGCAACAACCGGATGCAAAATAACCGTCCTGATAACAAAATTCAAAGTCATAATCAATTGTGTCCAGAGGTAGTTTAAAAAAATGTAATAACGTTTTCAAGCTAAAGTTTTTCTCAAATACACAGAATACTGATGTTGACGTTATCAAATCCGACTCAAAGCCAGATGAAGTTAAAGTTACCACCGAAGAGTTAATAGAAAGGTTCAAATTTTTCGAAACATATTTGCCTGCTGAAAATAAAAAAAAACAATTTCGCATGACACCACCACGTGAGGGTGTTGTTAAGTTCCCAACTCCGGATTCCGACACGGATAGCTCAAATCAATCGGCCCTATTTAATGATAACGTTTTACAGAAAACTAAAACAACGTCAACAATTTTAAGCAAGTTTCGCGAAATGGAAGAACAAAAAATGAATGATGAAATCAAGGAAAGGAACCCGAAACCAATGAAGTGCTTTACTCCACCACCTGAAATCGGTAACAATTTCAATAGATCAGAATCTGAGGAGGAAAACGACAGTGAAAGCGAGCAGAACAGTGATGAAGATGAAAATGGTTTTGAAAATATTCCCCCTAACTCAATTATTAAGGATCAGTCGCTTTATGAGGTAAGTTTTACGAAAATCAATAATTCTCATGGCCAGCTTACGGCTTTAAGATCTGATTTTTATACCCTTGCAGGGTATTATAATTTTGGTCAAAAGTGTGCAACGCAGTGAAGGAGACATCTCCGACCCTATAAAGTATATATATTCTTGATCAGGATCACCTCCTGAGTTGATATAGCCATGTCCGTCTGTCCGTCTGTCCGTCTGTCTGTCCGTCTGTCTGTTTCTACGCAAACTAGTCTCTCAGTTTTAAAGATATCGAATTGAAACTTTGCACACACCCTTCTTTCCTTTGCACGCAGTATATATGTCGGAAAGGCCGGGATCGGCCGACTATATCCTATAGCTGCCATATAACTGATTGATCGGAAATGCCATAACTTTGGTGTTTGCAAAGTTAGGAAGCTGGGATTTCCTATGGGTTTTACATTTGACCAATCAATCCGACCTACCAAATTTCAGGAGGATCGGCCGACTTTATCCTCTAGCTGCCATATAACTGATTGATCGGAAATGTCATAACTTTGGTGTTTGTTAAGTTGGGATTTTCAATGGGCTTTATTTTTGGCCAATCAATCCGACCTACCAAATTTCATAAGGATCGGCTGACTATATCCTATAGCTGCCATATAACTGAACGATTGAAAATGCCATAACTTTGGTGTTTTTAAAGTTAGGAAGTTGGGATTTTTTATGAGTATTAAGAATGCATCATATGAATAATTTTGGAGAATATAATTTAAAGAGTATTCTGCAAGGGTATGTCAACTTCGGCTCCGACCGAAGTTAGCTTTCCTTTCTTGTTTTCTGTAAAATTTGAAATTTATTTATAAATTGCAACTAATCTGTATATTTTATTTGGCTAGGCCAAAAAGAAAGAGACAAAAAATCCATTTATAAACTTTTAACTTACTTCTTCTTATTAAGGAACGCAATGCAACCGCTTCCGTGTTAATAGATGCACAATCCTTAAATGGTAGTTTTGACTCATTATTAATGTCCCTTGATGTGGCATATGAGCATAGTCTAGAATATATTCCTCACGCTATTACTTGGTATGAAATTTGACTTAGTCTGATGTTCTTTGGTTTTCCGGAGCAGTTAGTCTCTCTGATTTACCTTTTTTAAGTGTAAATTTCGATTTGGGTCATTGGAAGCTCACTTTACTAGATATAGAGTCTTTTTCAACTTTTTGATACTAGCTATATTTTGGTTCGATAATTTAGAGGCTCGACAAAACATGAAAACTCAAAAGCAGCAAACTTAAGAAGTACACGTAACCAAACCACGTGGGTTGAATTAAGAAATAAACTGCACCCATTGTGTATAGTTACATTCGACCTATACAAGAAAACAAAATTATACTCGTACCGTTGCAGACGGTTTTATTTAAAAAGAAATAATAATAATAATTGTTTTTTTTTCCACTTTAGTAGATATTTTTGTAACTTTTTTCAAGAATTGTTGTCTTATTTATAACAAGAAAGGAAAGCCGAAGTTTATATACCCTTGCAGTTATTACAAATCGACCACATTTCGATTTCTATGCCTATATTACTAGAAACTAGTCCGTCAGTTTTAAAGCTATCTGCTTGAAACTTTCCCAAAAGTTGCCTTTCTATTGCAGGTAGTATATAAGTCGGAACAAGCCGGATAGGGCGACTATATCATATAGCTCCCATAGGAACAATCGTAATAAATAATTTAAAAAAAAATTATAACTGTTGTTTTTAATAATTTTTTTTGTATTCTTTGGGATTTGGGACTTAAATATTATTGAATTACAGCTTTAATTAAATTAAAATCGGACAACAATATCATATAGCTGCCATAGAAACGACGGCAAAATGCAGCGCAAAATCGACATAGCTTCATTGTTTTTATACCCTTGCAGAGGGTATTATAATTTTGGTCAAAAGTGTGCAACGCAGTGAAGGAGACATCTCCGACCCTATAAAGTATATATATTCTTGATCAGGATCACCTCCTGAGTTGATATAGCCATGTCCGTCTGTCCGTCTGTCTGTTTCTACGCGAACTAGAGTCGCAGTTTTAAAGATATCGAATTGAAACTTGGCACATACCCTTCTTTTCTTTGCACGCAGTATATATGTCGGAACAGCCGGGATCGGACGACTATATCCTATAGCTGCCATATAACTGATTGATCGGAAATGCCTTAACTTTGGTGTTTGTAAAGTTAGGATGTTAAGATTTACTATGGGTTTTAGTTTTGGCCAATCAATCTGACCTAACCAATTTCATGAGAATCGCCCGACTATATCTTATACCTGCCATATAACTGAACGATCGGAAATGCCATAACTTTGGTGTTTGTAAAGTTAAGAAGTTGGGATTTTTTATAAGTATTAAGAATGTATCTTATAAATAATTTTGAAGAATATAATTTACAGAGTATTCTGCAAGGGTATATCAACTTCGGCTCCGCCCGAAGTTAGCTTTCCTTTCTTGTTAGTAATATAAGCATAGCAATCATAGCAGCTTTAAACAGATGCTGATCGCTGGGCTGTAAATTGTTGTCGAACACCCAATTCTCCAAAAACTCTCTTGAACGCTCGGCTTGTGAATTGCAACTCGTTGTTGGTAATCAACACCTCCGGCACATTAGCGTGGATTGGCTTCCGGATCGCTTTTTCCAGCGTATCTTGCTGCAACCCTCACGATTGTATTCGGCTGCCCATGTGCTGACCGGCCGTCAGCATGTCGTGGTTTTCGGCTATTACTTACTGTCTAGACCTAGTCGGTACACACAGCTTTCATGAGGTCACATCCTTGTTGATCGTTCTGTGAGGAATGTAGCGATATAGCCGGTTGGCTTCTACTGAGTAATCTGGATATTTGTTGAGATTTTGCGATATCTTACCTCTCATGACCCTAATCCAGTTACACTCGACTTGCCCCTTATATTGCCCTAGTTTCTGATAGTGGCTGACGCGACAGTGCGACTGCCACTTTATTAAGCAGGTCTTCCTAAACGCGACTTCGAAGACTTATTATTGCAGTTAGAGAGTCCATCGTTCCGGTCGATGCTATTTAACCAATTCAGGGCCTGTGACTTGGTATCCCTTTGGTAGCCCTCTAGGTACAGTATTTAAGTTCCTTTTGGGCCACACAATTGTTAATCATTCATACTCAGTTGCATTAACATTTCTTTCCCATCCATTCAAGGACTACCTGGAATATGAGATCGCCCGCTCGCCTTGGGCGGAATTTTGTGTAATAGCACTGAGCTTATAATCGGCGTCGGTCTGCAGCACAAACGTCTTGGTTAAATCGGGTAGTTTGTAGTAGTAGTTTGTCATCTGCATTGGATACGTGTCCTTTACGGGCCTTGCGTTTATTTTCCGGAAATCTACGTTTACAATGGTGTTAATCTCGAACTGCCTTTTTGGATTTAAAGGATAGTAACACTGGTTGACCGGCTGATCGTCCTTCATGGCGATGTGCCCTTTCGGTCTACCAGACTCTTCAACTCTTCCTTTAGAAACCCGAAGCTGTTGTGCCTTCTTTCCAAATGAAGACTCAAGGGTCGGTGGAAATAGTACTGGATAATTAGTCTTCTTTACTATAGTCTTATTGCTACTGCTGCTGCTCCATGTCGCTGTCCTTTGCAGCGTCGCTCCTCGTTGTCTGCGGCGGCATCGCTCCTGGGTTGACTTTGAATGTTATGCCAACCTCCCTACCGGGGCCGCCAAGTTGTATCGCCTAACAGGTTGAACTATGGTCCGCCTTATCGCCCAGCCACAAGCCCCCTTATCGCAAGCTTCTGGAGATCGGCTAAGTGTCTCGCCTAGCAGGTAGAACTAATTTCACCTTTATCGCCGGACTCCAAGCAAGGACTCCTTAAGATCGATTTTACTACGACCTAGCATCAATGGATCTCAGCGTTGTAGCCTCAGCCTTGTAGACTCGTCGCCGTTCTGCGTCTTGACTTTGGGATATTGATCCTTCGGCACTTGATTTCACTTGCAACCTTGGTCCAATGAGCACCGCCACACCGTTAATTCACGATGCGTCCTCTTTGAGCAGGTCAGAAATCCGCCTGTAACCGTTTGACCATGTTGCCTTGCCGTGTGAGGGTCTCTCAGCTTGCCTTGGACCAAGGTCCGTTTAAACTGGAGTTGAGCTGGGGAGTTTTAAGACTCCTCAAAATCTATTATGTTAATATAAATATAATTTTCATCCAAATCTAATATTTAGTCACATTAGTTAATTAAAACTGCATCTTATGGCATATAGTCGTACCGAAAAATAAGGTTTTTATTGTTTTACAGGCTCAAAATGCAGCTCGTGCTAAGCAACTAAGAGCGAAGTTTGAAAAATGGCAAATAAACGAAATAGAACGCGAGCTTAACGAAGGACGAGTAGACGATTATTCACAGCTAGTTTCAAACGAGTCCATTGAAAGTGCGAAAACGTAAGTTCCAACAAGCTTCTAAATAACTATGAATAACATTTTCTTTTTAAATTTAGTATACGGGAGCGCTTTGAAAAAATGAAAACCTCTGACACTCATCTGGAGAGCAGCCCAAAAACTCAAATAAACCGTTTTGTTGTATGTGTTAAATATTAAATCAAAAATTTTTTGAATTATTGTTTATTTTTTTAGTAATCTGGTGAAGAAATTTCTCCAAAAGCATATGTCTCGGAAAAAGAAGATCCCCCAGAAGCTTCGAAATGATATCTTATATTTTATGTATCTTATAAAAATAATTTTTTGACATTTTAAACATTTTAAATGTGGCAAATACAATATGGTTATAATATTTTATTCTATCGGCATATTGGTCAGGGTCACATGTCGATATAGCAATAATATTTATTGGATTTGGATGCTTTAGCCGCCTGAAATAACATATAATGCATGTTCCAAATAATAAGTTCATCTAATACATTTCGATTTCTATGCCTATATTACTAAAAACAATGAAGCTATGTCGATTTTGCGCCATGTTTCTATGGCAGCAGTATGATATTGTTGACCGATTTTAATTTAATAAAAACCGTAATTCCATAATATTAAATATTACCAAATCTCAAAGAACAAAAAAAATAATTTAAAAAAACAACAAAGTTATAATTTTTTTGAATTCTTTTTTCCGATTGTTTCTATGGGAGCTATATGATTCCGATTCCGACTTATATACAACCTGCAATAGAAAGACAACTTTTGGGAAAGTTTCAAGCAGATAGCTTTAAAACTGAGGGACTAGTTTGTGTATAATCGGACGGACGGACGAACAGACGGACATGGCTAGATCGACTCACCTGGTCATGCTGATCAGGAATATATATACTTTATAGGGTCGGAAATGTCTTCTTCACTGCGTTGTGACTGAAATTATAATACCCCCTGCAACGGTATAAAAATACGCAACCCGCATCTATAAAGGAGGACAGATGGACATGGCTATATCAACCAGTGATGCAGATCACAATTTATACTTTACAGGGTCGCAAAATTAAAATGTGCCCCAACAGACGGCTTGACGCGTTGAAACCGAAAACCGCTATCTTCCATGTATTCTGAATTTTAATTTTGTTTTGCCGTTATAGTGGGCCCGGTAAACTTTTTAAGCATCACTTTTACGCTTCGGGATTTATTAAAAAAAAATCGATTTTTTTTTTAATATACAGCGGAATTTATTTGGTAAAGTTCTTTATAGTTAAATTCCCAATTTTAAACTGATTTTACAAATTGCATTATTGCAATTGCGACGCAAGCAGCGAAAGTGGACTTTAATTAGAGAATTTGGATTTGTCAAAACTGTGGCCGGATGAAATGGTTTCTACGCTGCATCTTATGTTTAATAAATTTGGATTGGTCAAAGCTTTTATGATCACGAATGGGCTCTCAGGCTGGACCCTTTGTTTAAAAGTTTGAATATTGTTTATGTCTGCCGTCATTGATAAAGGCGTGTGAAATGTTTATAGTTAGAGTGCCGCCGATCGAAGGCGTGGGAAAGATTTATGTCTAAAGGGTTAAAATGTTTATGTCGAATTGATATGAATAACTGCAATTGTAGGCTCATGACATATGTTATTGACAATTGGAATAATGTGTGACGCTGCGCGCACAAAAACAAGATGTAAATAAAAAGAGACTAAAAAAGTTAAACGAAAGGAGCGTTTAATTCAAATTCAAACTAAGAACGCGCGCGAGTTACCGCACACATTGTTGCGGACACACCGCCGCCCCCCAAGCCTCAGCGACACAGATGAATGGTCATTAACCCATTCACTGTGTGCACAAACGCTGAGTCTGGAGACCAGCGGAAGCTAGCGGAGCCAGCCGTCCTTTCGTCACCCAGAGCCAGCCGTCTCTCCGTCACCCGAAACCAGCCGCATCGACAGCCACGCAAATATGCAAGATGTGCAAATTCCCCTCTTCCCGTTTTCCATTCCATTCTCATTCGCACTTATTTCATAAGTTAGTTCTTAGTTTCGAAGACAATAAAGATTCATTATAATTTTGACCGAAGACGAAAGAGGTTCTGATTTATTAAAACTTATCGAATATTACTGAAAACACCCATTGGACTCACTCGCAATATACCTAGATACTGAAAACACCCCTGGGACTTAACCCACAGTATACCTAGATACTGTAATTGGCGCAGCCTGGTCTTGAACCTGGAGATAGAGATGCTCCAACTCCTGATCATACTATTTCTGTAAGACAGGTAAGTGTACTAATGGCAGAAAAAACAAAAGAGAACAAGAAAATGCGAAAAACAAAATAAATTGCAATTAACAATTAAATTCGTGCAAGTGTATAAGTGTGAGTGTTCAAAATGTAGCAGAATGCAAATAATAATAATAATAATAATATAATTCGTGACCGAATATGTGCACATCAAACTCTGATAAGGCACCGGGACCACGCAATTAATATATTCACCTAAAATTGTTGAAATAAAAAATGCTTAATAAGAAAATCGTGACCGAATATGTGCACATCAAACTCTGATAAGGCACCGGGACCACGCAATTAATATATTCACCTAAAATTGTTGAAATAAAAAATGCTTAATAAGAAAATCGTGACCGAATATGTGCACATCAAACTCTGATAAGGCACCGGGATCACGTAATTAATTCACCTAAAATTGTTAAAATAAAAATGCATAATAAAAAAAAAACCGTGACCGAATATGTGCACATCAAACTCTGATAAGGCACCGGGATCACGAAATCAATATATTCACCTATCAATATATTCACCCACACATCATAAAAAAAAAAAACAGCCACAATGAAGCCACACAAAGACATAACGAGCAAAACCGTTGAGACAGCAATTCAAGCGCAAATAAAAGAATTTAATAAAACGAACACACCAATTATACACTATGCAGCAAAAATCCAGTTCAAATAATTACGCCGTATTTTATTTTACCAAAATATTGTTCTCTCTTGTAGTCGCCATAAGTTCACTCACCTATAGTCATGTAATTACTTTATTAAAACAATTCACTAATCCCATATATATACATATATTACAGTCAACACTAAACACGACACGGGGAGAAGATACCACTGGAACAACACACAACAATTAAAATTTTTACGAAATCTATGCAAGTCACAGAAAACTAGAATTTACTTACTAGATATTATTTACAATTAATATTACGACATTTACAATTTATCACTAAAATCATAATATTCATAATCAATCTCATAAATAACGAGAAAGAATAACTAAATGTTAAAGAAAGTTAGCGCAGCTAGTAAACTTAGAACCAGATTAGGCTTGAGAAGTGGAGGTAGTCTAATAGACATAAGAGAACTTGAGGAGGAAGAACAGCATAACCAAATAGAACAAGAAGCACCACCCTCTAATACCAACATGAATAATTTAGACTCTGGAAACGCATCGGGCTCCCTCAGCCCCACAGTTAGCAACTCGATGACTATTGTCAGCACAAATTTAAGTCCGAAAGATATATTGGGTTTTGTACAACACTTGCCAACTTACGAGGGTCCCTCCGACAATCTAGAAACTTTTATTGACAGTGTTGAGGAATTACTTATGCTCATTCGGTCCGTAGATCAGACCCCGTACGGCCAAATGATTCTCAGGGCAATTCGTAATAGAGTAAAAGGCAAGGCACATGAAGCATTGGACCTTTGCGGTACACCGCTTATATGGGATGAAATCAAAGCAAATCTTAAACGACTCTACACTAGCAAGAAGACGGAGGCTATATTGATTCGCGAAATTCAAACTTTACCAAGCGGACTTTCCATAAATAAACTCTTTTTCGCAATAGCAAAGTTGAGAAGTCAACTGGTGTCATTGACCAATGATTCAGATCGCGATGCCCAAAACTTAGCTGCAAAACACGCCCTATACTCCGACATTTGCCTCAATGCATTTGTTGTGGGATTAAACGGCCCACTTAAAACAATTATCAGGTCCCGAAATCCAGAATCTATAGAAAAAGCCTACGAAATCGCACAAATAGAACAGAACTTTTATTACCAGAACTCTGATGGGCAACAAAATAATCGCCGTCGCGAAAATTCAAATGATCAACAAAATTACCGCAATCGCGAAAATTCGGTTGATCGGAACCGCCCGTATCAACGTCACCAGCAAAATCAGAGACAATCGGGTAGCAACAGCACTAGGAGAAACGACACTCGTCAACAGCCTCAAAATCGACAGGAGAATCATTCTTCCAGAACTCAGAACCCTTTCCGAAACAATTCGGGATCAAATTCTTCCTCCCAACAAAACAACAATACTCCTTCTGCCTCATGCAACATCAATGATGGCGCAAATTTTTTACAAGAAGCCTCGGACAACCAGTCGGCTTCTTAAACAAAAAATCCCATGGGAAATCTTTACCTTACGTTATTTTATCCTCAAAATCCATTTCAACAAACCCACATAAATTTCTTATAGACACCGGGTCCACGTACTCTTTTATAAAACCAACATTGATTACAAAAGACCATATTCAGAAATTAAACAGTCATATCAACATCCAAACCGTTCTCAACAAGTTCCAAATCCAAGAATATACAGACTCAATTATTTTCGAGCAATTTGACACAACGAAGAAAACAAAATTCTTTTTGTTTGACTTCCACCCTCATTTTAATGGTCTCTTAGGCATGGATTTCTTAAGTAGCCTAGATGCAAAAATAAACATAGCAGATTCTATCCTAGAAACGACGAGGTTTTCCCTACCAATTTTAACGAGCACAAACCCGGTAGACACAACGCATACTATACCACTAAACACTAAGGTTAGATTACCACTCCCTGTGAATTTAATGGAGGGAGATTTTTTATTCGAGAATACAACCTTAAACAACGATTTAACAATCACAGGTGGTCTTTATACCGCAGTTGCAGGCTTTGCACACTTTGAAGTATGCAACATGTCAGACTACGACCAGACATTATATTTAGAGGAACCATTGCAGGCAGAATCAGCCCCTGTACAAGATTACGAATACTTATACTGCATGTTCGCTGGCGAAGGCCCGAACCCCACAGACACACAGTCAGAATTAGATATTCAAACAGAGCACTTGAACAATGAAGAAAAACAAAACCTAATTAAACTTTGCAAACAGTTCAAAAAACTTTTCTATAACGAAGATAACCAACTAACATTTTCTAACGTCGTTAAACACTCGATCCCAACGGTAGACGATGTACCTATCCACACCAAATCCTATAGATACCCATTTATTCATAAAGAGGAAGTTCGGAAACAAATTTCAAAGATGCTTCAACAGAATATTATTAGA